TTTTCTGTTATTCACACGTGTGTGTGTGTGTGTGTGTGTGTGTGTGTGTGTGTGTGTGTGTGTGTGTGTGTGTGTGTGTGTGTGTACACACATCTTGCCTAGCAAATTCTTCAAGACTTTGAAAGGTAAACAATACATTACCTTTTACCACTCCCTTGCCTACCTCCTCCTCCCATCTTTTCCCCCCACTAAACAAAAAAACAAAAACAAAAACAAAACAAAACAAAAAAAAAGGAAAACATAAAAAGAAAAAGTATGTTGTTCACCCATGGCTTCCACTTTTAATTTACCAACTTACTGGGCAGCAATCTTGATGAATTTTTTCACTAGTTGTACACGTTTACAGAGCTGGCTGCAGAGGAGTATCTCTGTGGCCACCCAGAGTTGAACTTCATTGCATCTTTGAAGCAGAAGACTAAGATTCACTGTGTTTTCACCACTGCCCTGTCTGCTGAAGGTGAAATATATCAGCTCTTGCTGGAAGACAAGTATTGTATTATTAGGGCCTTTTTATAAACATGCCAGTCAATCAAGTTGACGTTATTTAACATATAATATATTTCAAATACTTTGGTAACTAATAGTTACTACTTATATGAGGATTTTTTTTTAAATAACTGATGACAAAGGTCAAATGATTCAGAGTTAGGTTTAGTTTGACAAAGTTTAGAGGCTCAGCAGAATTTGCAAATGGACTGCACATCTTGCAATTTATGTTTTTCTTGTGAGATTTCCTGCAGTTCTGTCACAGCTGGAAACACAACAAGAACAATCTGTCTCCCCCAGTATTTCATCATTTCTGGTTCCAGTCTGAGAAAACTCATATCTGAACATTCCAGTGCCCGAAAAATGTTCATTCCAAGTGCCTTCCTAAAATAGTGAAAGCTTCAGGAAACAAGAGGAAGGGGAATGTTCTTTTTGTTCCCTAAATAAACTCTCCTTTCTCTAGCTTTAAACAGTCTAAAATGAACAAAAGAATTCCCTCCTGAAAATAGAAGAACACTCATAGAAATAATATGAAATGAAAAGGGCCGTCAGCCTTTTCAGTTGATGATACAGTTCTATTTCCATTTTGACTTTACCCTTTTCCATATGATTTCCTTGAGAATTTTGGATTGTGATCAGCGCTCCCTCTAAGCTGCGTGGCATGCACGGCCGCACAGGCGCATCTGGCAGTGCAACATGAGCATGCCTGCGTGGCCGTGCACACCACGCAGCTTAGAGGGAGCACTAATTGTGATTCAGAGGGCCTGTTCCAAAGCCTATTGGAGTTAAGAGAAAAGCACAATTGGTCTTGGAGTAGGCCTAAAATCAACTGTGCCCGTTTGTTTCTTGACTCTTACTTTATAAGTGGTGATTATACCCAACCCAATATATTTACCTCACCAGAAGCAATAATCATCCAGTGGATTTGCTCAAATCATGATTTTTTTCTGTGCTTAATGGCATGAAACAAATGCGTGGAGTTCCTTTCAAAGGAGATGTATTTATATAGAAATAGCTCAAAGTAGGGTTTTTATGACCTGGGTTAAAAAAAAATCTTTCAGGTAGGACTGTCAAACAATTAAAAAATGTGATCGCAATTAGTTGCACAATTAAAAAAAAGAGTCACAATTAATCACAATTTTAATCACACAGCTAAAAACTCAAAATAATGTGCAGACAAATTCAAATTATGCAAAATTATGCAGGTACTTTGTATGGTTGGGGGTGGGAGTGGGGTGCGTGTGGGAATTTGTGAAGGTGTGGGGGGGGCAGTGGGGATGTGTGTGTGGGGTCTGGAGCCTGGGGAGGGGGTTTCCCGCATGCCCTGGCAGGATGCAGGGTACTCTGGGTCAGAGTGAGGGGTAGCAGCAGAGCTGGGGGGGCTGTGTTTTAGGAGTGAGAGGCAGGCAGGCAGGCAGGCAGGCAGGCAGGCAGACACACACACACACACACACACACACACACACTGCCCAGCAGGTAAGTCTGTGGAGGTGAAGGAGTGTGGGGGAGGGAAGGGGCGGTGGGGGGACAGATCAAGGGCCCCATGGTGAGGAAGGGAGTGGGACAGGGCAGGGGTGAATGGGGCCCCGAGATCAGGGCAGGTCGTGGGATGGAGCCGTGGTCCAGGTGCCAGGGGGGTGCAGCTCCTGCTGCTGCAAGCACCCCCAGAAGAGCCACAGGGGGCATGACGTTTGTGTGTGCAGGGCTGTTTTCTATGCAGGGCGTAGGTGGGCTATGCACTGTGGGCTCAGGGCTCTAAGCCCTGCTCCATTGCTCCAAGAGCTGTATGATGCCATGCTGTGCATCCTGCTGCCAAGCAGGCAGGAGACACGGAGTGTAGCCAGTGTGTGGCTCCCGAGGCAAAGCCAGCAGGGCATGGAGAACCCCAGCCCACTTTCGCCCTGCACACAAATCTGGGAGGCACATGGCCCTCTGTCCCATGACCTGCCCGAGCCCCAGGGCCCATTCACCCCAGCCCGTCCTACTCCCTCCCTCACCATGGGGGCCTCAATCTTCCCCGCCCCCCCGCCCACCCATCCCTCCCCACCATGCCCCTTCTCCCCCACAGACTTACGTGCTGGGAGGTGCTCTACATGCCACTGGGCTGTGTTCCTGGCCACGTGTAGGCTGCAGCTGCTTGTTTGTGTGTGCTCCTCCTCCCCCACTGCATCAGCCTGGAGCCCACATCCCAGCTGCCTTGCAGTCCTCTGTGCTGCCACCACTGCCTCCTGGGTGGCCTGGAGGCAGCAGTGATGGCAGCTGAGCAGAGCCTGGGTGCAGGCTCCAAAACCATGTGCACGATTAATGCATTAAAAAAAATTAACACAAACATCAATTAATGCATTAATTGCATGTATTAACTGCGATTATTTGACAGACTTAATTACAGGATTCTAAAGGCTGCCAAAGTATCTACCAGGACACATACAGTAACAATACCACCTAAAACTGTTGCTTTAAAGCTTTAGAGCTGTTACATCAAAATATGATGCTGAAGTGCAATATCACGAGTTCCAGCATAATGCTGTAACATCCCATGGTCACACTGATATGAACCCTGGGAGTGTTTGCCTCCTCTGTAGTAGGGAGCATAGCCTTCCACCTGGGATTTTTGAGCAGATATTAACAACCTGTTACAGAAGCAGGACATTGGCCGCTGTGGTCCCTCTGCTTTACGTGTAGCAGATTAAGGTGTTATGTCTTGTGTCAGAGTTGATGGTAGTTTTACTAAGAGGTTAGATTATGGTTTTGTACAGGGCAGCTTGGATAGGGATGCCTCAGGGGGTTGGATTAGTTGACCTATGGAGTTCCCTTCCAGCCCTACTTCTCTGATTTCTATGATCAAAGCATTGCAATGTCCTGGCAATGACATGATGTTGCATAAATTTCACTTGCATGAAAGGCAGAGTAAACCTTTCAGTATGAATTTTAAATTATTTATTCTTTTTTCCGTTAGGAACCTGTATTCTAATGTGTAATGACTTCTTGCATTGGTACCTTGCATTAAAAAAGAAAACAACCCCCACTAAAATTTGTTTCTTACCTCATGAATTGAATTAAAAAGACTCCAGTCAAAGTTCGTTAATTCCAAGGCAAGATCCCAGGTGTTAATTCCCAAAATTCTCACAGACCTTTGTTGCAATTCTTCATTTTCAGCAAAAGGGTTCTAAATCAATGGACAGATGCAAAATGATCCTGATCAATTCCCAAATGTTTTGTATGGAAATAGCTACTGTGCTGAGGTAAAAAAACAGCATTAAAACAGTAATCTTCCGTGAGTGCACTTAATTTTTTTAACCCTGTTCAACTTCAATGAGTTACCGCCTATTTAAGAAATAGCCTAGGAAACAGGACAGCATGATCAATGTTTTCTTATTGAATTAGGCCTTCAGTCTCTCTATAAAACCTGATTATAAAACACTGACCAAGCAGTCAGCTTAATGAAAGCAAAACCCTTGAAATTACAATGGCCCATGGTCTGAATTAATGCACTAGCAAGCTCTGTATTAAAAATAAAAGAATGTTGTGTTAACACATCAGATTTATGGTAAATGCATATAACTCCCTGAACACGCATTTACAAATTCCACAAGAATGTCCATTTTATTGTGAAAAATGGCCTATATTAAATGCACTTGTCAGCAAACGGTAACAAAATGTAGGGTCTGATTCATGAAACATACTTAGCTTACTGAGGGGAGCTTACTCACACTACTGCTGTTAAGGATCATTTGCTATTTTCATTACAAACTCAGATTTTCAAAGGTTCACACTACTTTTTTAATCTCATCAACCTGAAATTTGATGTATGAGTCATCTGCCAAGATGAAAGATGGTTTTATCAGTAAGCCATTATTTTGGTACTATTTTTTTTAACCATTTACAGCAAATTTTGTAATTTTTATTATGTAACTAATGAAACTAGATTGGTTGTCACTTGTCTGCACTGAAAGCTTTTGCTAGTATTAACATTTTTAAAGGTGGCTCTGACACAGTAGACAATGTGGATGATACATTATAATGATATCAACACGTCAGTTCTAAGGGATACACTGATCCCATAAAATGAAGACAAACATTTTTCATGCCTAAGACAAATGTACACACCTTAATGATAACTGCCAATGTATCAAAGCATTTGGGGGGGGGGGGGGAAGGGGGATATACACATATGTTGCTAAACAGCTGAAGCATGAATTGCAAATTATGCCCATGACCATATCACTTTGATGTGAAGTTTTATCATGCCATGAGTTGCTCTGGAGTGTATTTCCCCATGAGTTTCAAGCCAATTCCAATGGCTGCTGTGTGATCCTAAGGATGACTACCACCCCAGGAAGCATGGGAAAATAACAGTCCCCAAGTTCAGCAGAAAGCAGAAACTGCTATTACGTACTGGCCTCACAAGGTAACAGAGACACAAGGAAACTAGACTGCTTCCATCGTCTCCTTTCATCTCCTTTCCTCATCCTGACCACACTCCACTCCCTACACACACCATTACCTGCATCCCCCTCCATGGACTAGGCATAATTTGGCTTCTAAGGCTAAGCACACAGTCAAACAGCCCGAGGCTGAGTAGATTCAGTCTTTGCAAGTTAACTTAAGATGCAGAGATTAAACTGAGAAACAACTAAATAAACATTCACTTTTGATTCAGGAAATGCAGCCACAGGCCTGCAGTGGCTCAGGCCAGAACCTGGGGGGTGCTAGACCATGGCTCTCTGGAACATAGCCAGCAAGGGCTGTGTGTTTGCTTCCTCTTCCTGCTGCCCCCGAGGTCTCTAGGATTTGCAGCCCACAATCACAGCATCAGGACTCTGCAGTGTTGCTCATCACATCCTCTTCCTGCTTCTAGGTGCCTCTGGGATTTGTAGTCCACAGTCGTAGCCAACAGTAAATTTTTAGCCAGGAAGAGCAGCTCTGTACTCAGGGGAAGGGAAGCTTTATACCCCTCTCTGGTCCCAAACCCCAGCTGGGATTTGCCTGGAGGGACAGCCCCTGCCCCCCTCCCCACAAACCCTTCTCTGCTGGAGCAGACAGCACAGCTCAGGGCTGGAAAGCATGCTGAGATGCTGGGGGACTCTGATTGTACTTGAACCAGGAAGGGGTCTAAGAAAGAAATTTCATAAACCAGTCTGACTCAAATCAGTTAAGCCTGATACTATATCCAACCAGGTTTATCTTAAACCAGTTTCAGCCATTCTGAAACTGGTTTATGTGCACTGAACTTCTGTTCTGTTATAGGTTTCAATCAGTTTCTGACAACTTAAACTGGTTTATGTGTAACTTCTGTCCCTAACCTAAAGTTATACCTATGTGGCACAAGGCAACATGCAGATGTACCCAGTGCTATGCCTTAAAATGGCTAAACTAAGTCTGGTTCTAGAGCTGGCAGGTTTAGAACTCCTTCCAGATACCTTTGTACAGTGTTACTTTGCACAACCCTAATAGCTCGTTTTCCTAGTAACAGGCATGGGGTTGACCAAATTGTTTCACGCACTTGTGATGATGAAATACGAAGGATTCAACTCAAGGGTAGGCAATTATTGGAGTTGGAGGGCCATTTAAGGAATTTTGGTGAGCTGTTGTGACCAGGAATGGCATGGAAGGGAAGGGGGGCAAGGTACTGCCCTGGCGTAGTGGGGTGGGGGGGAGCAGAGAGGTGCTGACCCAGTATGGCAGGTGGGAGTACTGACCCAGCCCAGTGAGGGGGCAGTTGACCCTATCTGGGCCGGGCCTCTTTGTCCCACACCCAACTGCCCAGGCCCTGGCCCTGTGCTGTTACCACCCTGTGATCCCAACCTTGCTCACCCATCCTGCTCTCATATACCAGTCCTCACCCATGTGTGGCTCCATCTCATCATCATGGCTGAGTGCATACTGCCCTCGGGAGTCATGGGCCAGTCTCCATGGAGACAGTGCCCACTCCATTCAGTGCCCCTGGCAGTGGGTGTAGGGTGGATGTGCCAAGGTGCAGGCAGTAGGGCTGGGTCCCATGGCAGTGGTGACACTAGCAGCATCAGCTGAAAGACCTACCATGGCTGGGGCTACTGGGAAGCTGAGACTGGTGCCACCCCAACCCCACTGCATGCCCAGGGGCAGTGGGGACTGGCTGCACATGCCACGGTCCAGGTTGCCTCCTATGCCTGGGTCAAGACATACCAAGGCAGGCCAGAATCCCTGGTCAGGCCAGATCCAGTCCACAAACCATAGTTTTCCTGCTCCTGATTTAACTGTATATAAACTTTGGTCTATTTGACAATGATTTAATTGTCACCCTCATTAAAAAACTAGGCGACTGTGGCATCGATGCCTACACAGTCAGATGGATTGCTAATTGGCTGAAGGGTCGTACTCAGAGGGTGGTGGTGGACAGGTCGGGGTGAGGTGGGCACGCTAGTAGGGGAGGGAAAGACTGCAGAAAGACCTGGATAGGTTGCAAGGGTGGGCTAACAAAAACAGGATGTGTTTCAATACGGACAAGTGCAGGGTGCTGCACTTGGGCAGTAGTAACCGGCAGCACACTTATAAGATGGGAAACTCCCTTCTTGAGAGCACGGAGGTAGAAAGGGATCTTGGAGTCATCATTGACTCCAAGATGAACATGGGCTGACAATGCGAGGTCACGGTCGGCAGGGCTAACCAGACCCTATCGTGCATCCACAGGTGTATCTCAAGTAGGGCCAAGGAAGTGATCCTCCCCCTCTATGTGACACTGGTCAGGCCACAGCTGGAGTACTGTGTCCACTTCTGGGCACCCCACTTCAAGAGGGATGTGGACAACATTGAGAGGGTCTAGAGGAGGGCCACCCGCATGATCCAGGGACAGCAGGGCAGACCCTACAATGAGAGGCTACAGGACCTGAACCTGTTCAGCCTTCCCAAGAGAAGGCAGAGGGGGGACCTTGTGTCTGTCTATAAACTCATTAGGGGGAACCAGAAGGGTTTGGGGGAGACCTTGTTTCCCCTAGCGCCCCCCAGGATAACAAGGAATAATGGCCACAAGTTGTTAGAGAGTAGGTTTAGATTAGACATCCGTAAGAACTACTTCACAGTCAGGGCGGCTAGGATCTGGAACCAACTTCCAAGGGAAGTGGTGCTGGCTCCTACCCTGGGGGTCTTTAAGAAGCAGCTCGATGCCTACCTGGCTAGGGTCATTTCAGCCCAGTTTTCCTCCTGCCCAGGCAGGGGTTCGGACTTGAAGATCTACAAGGTCCCTTCCGACCCTACTTCTATGATTCTATGATTTATGAATTGCACTGCTGTTTGGTAAAGACATTTAATGTCAGAAACCTTTTTAAAAAGGCATATCTAGTTTAGTAAATTACTGACAGTGACTGTGCCAGTATAATTATTTATGGGAAAGTTGCTTTCTTTACATAAGTTCAGACAGCTTTTATAAAGGAATTTAGAAAACTTAACAATACAAGTATCATTTCTGAAAAACCTGGTGTCCTCAACAGGCACTCAAAAAAGTTGAACAATATGGAATTCTAGGACATACAATATTTCTTACCAACGTGTCATTCAGATCTTTTCGGTAGACAAACATACGACTGGATGACTCAAGTGATTTTGAGAGAGCCAGGTCATTTGGTTGTAGTTCATGTTTCTCTTTAAAAAAAAGAAAAAATGGAAAACCTCAGAAGAGTAGTATATATAGTATGTAAACAGTAAAGTAACATGTAACAAATATTCCTCAAGGCACATCTACTTTATTAACTATAATAACATAACGTACACAGTATTAATAACTTAATAAAATTGTTCACGTCTACCCATCAGATGTTGTTCAAATAGCATCCAGCAAATACAATCAAAGCACCATTTCTATGCAGCTGCATTAGAGATGCTCAGAATTTTTCAAGTCTATGAAATAATGAAGTCCATGAAGTATCTTTTGTTTAGCTTTTATGGATTTCAAGAATAGAAGCAACTACATCTAGTCCAAATTCCTATATATCCACAAGCCTTTGAATTTTATTCTAGCACCCTGCTATATATTCCAGGTAGGTTAGTAAGACTGAAAAATTTCAATTCTCAGTAGACTAAACTGTTGTGTGCTAGAGGCATCAAGTATCTAGATAATCCCTGCAGGCAAGCCACACCCCCAGAGAACAAAAGCAAAAACACCAGACTATATCTGACTAACTGTGCATCAGGGGAAAAAAAACTTCCTTCCTGACCCCTAGAGGTCACGAGCTGAAGACCTGAAGTATAAAATTGATCATAGTTACTGTCTTAGCACAGAGCTGCAAGAGATATGGGTACAATGAAGGTAATGCAGACAACTTTCTATTTCCCAAGGTCCATAAATGACGAGGATGCAGAGGGGGTTTCATAGATTTACAAGTGGCAAGATCAGAAGGGCATCCATCATGACTATCCAGGCTGACCACTTGTACACGTTAGTATCTGATACTACTTGAATCACTAGTTATAAAACGTGTTCCCCACTCCCCACAACTTGCCTCTGCAAGGTAATTTTGTATGAAAAACATCCTGCTTTGTTTATTAAGTAGTTTGATACAATTTACATTTACTCTTTAATGCTTATATTGCTGCCACCAGTAAAAGATGCAGCACATCTCTAGCTCATGCAAATTTCATTACATAAAAGCATATATAGATCACATTGCTGACAACATACAGCAATCAGGGCAGCTTATTTCTGGTACATCTGATTAATTCATTCTACATAAATGAGTAACAATTTTTTACTTATATTAATAGACAAATTATATTCCCATTGTTAAGTTTTAATTATTTTTTTAATTTAACAGACAAGGGGTAGTTATCATCCTAGTGATTCCTCTCCACATATATGTTCGAGAAAGTCCTTGACTTTCTAAACTGTTTGCTTATGAACTGTTAATTTTCTTTAGCTATTGAGGCTAGCTGAACAGCTATCCACAACACTTATTTAGCAGCAAATCTAGCCTCTCTCCTAGATAGCTGCCCAACAAGACTGGAAAAGAAGTAGAATCACAGTGGTTTTGCAGTGCTGAGAAAGCACTGAAGGTAGGCCTGAGTACATGCAGGACTAAGGCAAGTTTTGTCTGTAAATTCAGTGGATTCCCTGGCCACATCTCCTACTGGGACACTGCAGCATGGTTGCTTTGATCCAGGCTTTAGACTTGTAGGACAGGAAGCTGGCCCTGAAGAAAGTTTATTTGCGTTCCACATAGAGAGCTTGGCATTTCACTGTCAAATCAGATATATAAATAAAAGTGCCAATATTTGGTGTGAATTTTATTAGCTTCATAGAAAAATAAGAAGCGTGTTGTGTACATGGGGTTCAATGCTCAGCTTCAAGGAAGCTATGCCAATTTATATCTGTGGACAATCTGACCCATCAGTTTTAATCTTCTCATTAGCCTTTTTGTATGGCTTCAGCTTTTTTTTTTTCGTATGTAGTTAAAATGCCTCCTTTGTATTCAATGAACGTATGAGGATGAGACAATGAAGCCAAACAGCTTTACAAAGACCTGGAGACCTGATAGACACCAGAAAAAATGATGGAGCCAGGAAGGTCCCTAAAATAGAGATCACAGGCAGAAGCTTATTTAAAAGAGACAATAACCCCTCTTTGTTATTAAGACTAAAATAATACATCAACCCCCACTCCCCCTTTCCCATCACAACCAGGTTATAAACTAGCCTCACATCAGGGAAAACATCCTATGGATTGATTTGGATATTAATATTTCACAAATTCTTCCCACTATAAAATAGTCATTACTTATCCTGTCAAATGAAGGAGTCACTGTGGCACACAATGCTCTTTGTCCTCTTTTTAAAGCAAGCAGTACCTCAGTGCCTCCCCAAATTAATTCAAACATAAAATTAGGAGCTTATCTGCAGGAAAGCCTTATTACATATTTCTAAACACTGGAAGTCCTTTGCACTCCAGTCCTAGTGAGAAAAAATGCAGTATCCAACAGAATCCAAGAATTAGCTGTTGTCATGGAAACCAATCTCTAGTAAGCAGCTCCTTATTGTTACTATGGTCATCCAGCTGTGGACTCATAGGGAACAGCTATATTTTTTGTGCCAGAAAATGTCAACCATCTTTTTATAGATGAATCAGTAAAAGGTTAGGATTCAGATGAATGAAAATTATTTACCACCAGAGAATGTGACAACAACTAGAGCCAGGTCCTCCTCCGCATGCTGGATCTTTTCTGCTACAATTTTCAGTATTTCCTGAGCTGAAGCAGATACTTTAGTTTTCACACTGACATAGGAATGTTCTGTTATGTAGATACGGCAGAAAACTGAAAAAGAAAGAAAAAATGTCCACAAGTAAATAAAGGCACTCATTAACAGGAGAGGTGGAAGAATTTCATAAATCAGATAGTGGCAGTGCCTTGGCTGTGATTGCATTTGACAGTAATCTTTGACAGCAGGAGCTACTACTGCTATACACTGACCTACAGGCACACCAAACTCTTACAAATATCATCATTTTTCCTTTGTCCTCCTCCTCTCCCTGGGAAATCACAGAGACATAAAAGATAGTGCAGTGTTTCACCAACATACAGTTAAATTTTATTGCAGGGATTTACTATAGAGCAAGCATTCTCTAACATTTTAATTATGGACACTCTGAAACTGATTTCTTCTTCCTCTCTCTTGTTTGCAAGCTCACCTAGTTTTTACTTTTTTTTTTTTTTTTTGCTTACTTCCTTTCAGGATCAGAAGAATCACAATTCTTCCTCTATACGTCATATCCTCCAAGTTGCTTATCATGTTAAAATAGGATTCTCAGGGTGACTCTCTAAAGTCTTCATTAATCCATCCAACCAACCAGTTTGTATGATATCCATCAAAACCCTTCACATCACCATTGCACATTCAGGCAATACCCTGTCAGCAGTACAGTTAGTTTAAATAACAATCCTTCTTGGATCACCTGCATCTCTTCTGTAAGGGACAGATTTGGAAGCATCACAAGGCTAGAACTTCCAAATGAGATTATTTCTGTAGTGGAAACTGTCTCGGACGGCCGGAGCCGACTCGAGATGATGCAAATATTACTCGGTCGTTTGGGCGGGCTGGTGAATGGAGAGGCAGACACAGCTTATTGGTTGCAAAA